GTTGTGGTTGGGTTTCTATCACTGGCAAAGGAGAGAATCCTGGCTATTATCCCTCTTAATCAAACCATTAAGGACAGAGGTGGAAAAAAGAAGCCACAGAAGGGTGCTGGTGATGAGATGCTTATATGGACTGCCAGGTTCTTGAGGGCCTCATTCAGGTTTCCCTAAGAAAAAGTCCAAGCACACATATGCAGAGATTAGAAGTGTAAATAAAGCCACCGAAAAACTGGGACAGGTTTAGAGCCAGCAGCTCTTTAGGTCTATCTCTTCTGGCCTCTGGTGCATGTCATCTCTGCTCCTCAGAGTGTCTGTTCCATTCTGCCTTCACTCTTATTGATCAATACTCTCCCAGTTTTGCAGTTCAGATCCCAGGAGGTCAGCTAATGATACTGCTGTTCTTGTTGAGCAGAGTCCCTTGTTTCTGGCCACTTGTGGGTGGCCAGCCAACCTCTCTGGACAAGGCACAGTTTCTAGTCTCATCAGAGCCCTGCCCTGAGCCATAATAACGAAAGCTGGGGAATTTAGAATGAGGCAGACATTCTATTTTGTCCATTGTAAGAGATGCGCGTTCCAGAACAGTAGGAATGAAGCGTCATGATATGAAACATCAAACAAATATTTAAATACACATTTGCAACAGAAAATTTAAAGTGCACCAGAGGGCTGGGAATGGAGAAGATAGAGGGCAAGGGCTTGCTGAAGTGATCTGGGTCCGAGCCAAGGGCTTCAGATACTGCAAAACGCAAGACCAGGATGGACACTTTTAAACTCAGTGTTGAGGCTGTTCACAGCCCCAGCAAAGCCTTTGGTCTCTACTTGGCTTGACTTATACTCTTGACTAGTAGAAACTGGGAATAGTCCCCACATATTCTACCCTTTCCAGCATCTCTCCAGAACCATCACATATAGCTGGGGTGGTATCCACACAGCTGACCTTGGATGAGTTTCTTAGCTTCAGAAACGTTGGTTTCATCTAAAGATGGCATTGTCTGCTTTCAGAGCGTTGTTGTGAAGAGCAAATAAGACAATGCCTGTCAAACAGCCAGGTCGCAGGCACACTGTGTTCATTGAATGGTAGTTATTATTGCCATATCATCATCATCATCATTATCTTCATTTTCATTATGATACTATCAAGGTGAGTGAGTGTAATACATTTGTGAACAAAGTCCAGGGATACATTTGTGAACAAAGCCTATCTCTCTACCTGTTTGCCGATACTAGTCATTTCTCTAACAAACATCTCTCACTTACAAGGAAAATTAAAATCCAGATATATTTAAGCTCTACAGTTGTATGACCAAAGTGAATACTACTTTATACAACTCAGAGGATTTTATTTTAGAAGACTTTTATTTAAAAAAAAAAGAAGAGGAAGAAGGAAAGGAAGGAAGGAGAGGAGGGAAGAAAGGAGGGAGGAAAGGAAGTCACAAGGACTTGTGAAAGTCTTCTTCCCCTTGTAATATTGTATACTTCATTTTGGGATTAATTCCTATTGTCAGTTGAGGTATCAGAGCAACAACAATGAAAATCAACCAGAAGAAAATACCTGAAAATCTTTTCATTTTATAATACAGAATATCTGGGTATATTTATGTAAGATATATACCTTATGAAAGATAGTGTAAAGTCATATCATACACAGACCTTACGTAAGATACTGTAAAATCATTCATTTGGTCTAACATGCCTCTAGCGTTATCAAAAGTTTACTTGAAAAATATATGAAAAGGTTGTGGCTTAAAAATAATCTTCAAGTTTAAAATTTAATTTTACATACTGCCATGCTGTCTCATTAAATATGCAGGAAAGGGAAAAGGGGAAGAGTAGTATTCTTCAGACTTGAAAAAATTAATCCATGTTTCTTGGCATGGACAACCCTGTTATATTTAAAATATACATATATAATGTGAGACCCTTTATCTAATAAAAGTCATGAAATCTATGGAAGTTGATCAAAGAAAACTACTTCCATTTTTATTACACTGTTACTATTTTTATGGATAAAATGTAAAATGTATGATAAAAATCCAATATACAGTAATTGAAACGTACAGTCTGACCTCACATTGTTCTGATAAATCTGTTCGTTTCTGGCCATTTTCAGTGTTGCTATAGTGAACAGTGTTGACAAGTGGATGAGAAAAAGCTTATAAATGGAATTCTGATCATAGATAAGACTGAACATAAACTGTCTCCCCACATTTCTGCATGTTAGGAGGCCCGGCTTGTGCCCCAGATGGCCATCTCCCAATAATACATAAAACATTTCTTGCTAGAGCTCGGCACACGTTGAACGCACAGGTCACTTGAACAAAACAATAATTCAATTCACTTAATAATGACCTCACTGGGAACAAACACAGACCCAGGATGATGCTGTTAGAAGAACAAAATCGTATTAGAGTTTTAAAAATGAAATTCTTAAAAAGCTGCCATGCTCTCTTGTCAAAATAGCACTTAAATGTATTCAGTGTTCAGCGACCAGGCAGGCTCACCAAGTTTATTTTAGTCTCTTGAATTTTACTGCTGTGTTGCTGTGCCACGTTTCTTCGGTTTTCATGCTAGTGGCTTTCCCAGGAAGGTCAGTGGTGTCCACTGAACCCTCTATTGGCTTATTGGCTGAGCTCATTGATGAAGAAGCCTGGAGTTCATCACTTTTTCTTTTCTTCTGGCTGAGATGGCAGTCAATGAGGAATGACTGCAGAAAGTTTCAGAAGGACGCATGGGAATCATTTAATCAGACCAATAAAATAAGCTATTTATGTATGTAACAGTTTAATAGCCTCAACCAACAAGGCAGTATTTCTCTAGAATAACTTTTAAGTTTAAAGCTGATTTTATTTCTAGCTTATAAGGCTTAAAATTCAGGATTCCCTTCTTTGGCAGAAACGAATGAACTCAGCCAGGAGAAATCATAATCTAGAATGACCCCTTTCTGGCATCTAGGTACTTGCTAAGAAGATAGCTTCATGTTTTGACACCACTGATATACGTGAGATCAGGCCCCACCTACCCAGAATTTTTAGCCATGATGTTCATTTCTGTATTTTAAAACTAAGCCCAAGTGCTGTTGAAATTAGGCCATTTATTGTCATAGTTTTAACTATTAATACCATGTTTTCTAATTTAATAAACATCAGGGGCTTTAAATATGTTTTTGCCTGATACATTTTATTAAAAAGATCTTTAACTTTCAGGATCCAAATCGTAAATTTGCAGAAAAGAGGGGTTAAAAAAAGAGAACACAGATACAGTCTGTTCAAATCATTATTATTTTAATGTTGGAGAATGGGGAGAAAATTTTGTAGAAATTTTGTCAGCAATTGTGTTATAATTACTTTATTATTTTATTCCTTATTCTCCCCGCCCCCCCCACTCCCCATCTATCCTAGTAGGCTTGAAAAAGCTAGATCTCCTTTCCTACAGAGCAACGCTTTTCTGCATGTGAAACATATATCTTTATAGGAAGTACCCCTTAGCTTATTTCTGTACCTGCCTCATCAATATTAGTTGGAATACCCTATAATAGTGGCAATTTATTAACCTCTGATGTAAAAGCAGGAGAAAGAACACTCATGCTATTTTTTCCCCATGAAAATGGTGTTTAGGATTAGGGGTGTTTTAGGGATATAGTAGTATGGGGGGAGATGAGGAGGGGTTAAAGAAGCAGAGTCATTTCCCACTACACATATATAAATTTTTAAGAATCAAAGAGGTATCTACAATCCAAAAACAATATCCCATTTTCCTTCATTTTTCTTCTCCCTGCTTCTACTGATAACTTCTCCAAGAAGACATAGTCCTTGCCTCTAAAAGAACCTATTGTCGAAGGAGAGAAAGCACAGAAGACAAATAAATAAATGTAACAGGCAGCAGATAATTTAGGGACCATGTTGGTAGTATAGGAGTTCAGAGAAATTTGAGATCAGGAAAGACTTCTTGAAGGCATTGCATGACGTTGTGTGCAGATTGTGCTGCTGTCATCTATGAGAGGTTGCATCTCAACTCTCTATGAGGCTGAAGGGGGATTTCCCTTCCTCTCATATCCCAAGGAGTACTACTCTCTCTCCCCACCTCTAAAGACGCAGGATGCTATGCCCATCCTTTCAGTGGCAACGGCTTATCTTCTCAGTTTACCTGCCTGAAGGCCAGTGGGGCTTATAGAGCCCGAGAATGGCGGTAAAGAGTTCTGCACCCTTTTCAAGGGAAAAGGACAGGCGTGGGGCACAGGAAGCCATACTCCTCTTCCAGCTCAGGCACCTGGAGAGGCGAGCAGGAGGCAGGAAAAGTCCAGCACGTGCTGCTAATCATCACAGTAGTAACATTTACACAGCACTTATTGTGCAGAGAACTGTTCAAAGCTATTGCCACGGGTTGTTAACTCAGGTGATTCTCCTGACCACCCTATAAGGAAGGACTATTGAGATCCCCATTTTACAGATGAGGCACAGAAAAGCTAATTATCTTGCCTAAGATCACACAGCTACTTAATTGACATAGTTGGGACTTGAGCCCAGGCACAGCTGGACTCCAGCACCTCTGCGCTTTCATGGTTCACAACTCGGGCTGCACATTAGAATCACTTGGAGAGCTGTTAAACAATATTGATACCTGGGCCTTCATCCCAGAAATACTGATTTAATTGATCTGTAGTGGGGCCTGGGGCAGGAGTACTTGTAAAATTTCCCCAGGTGATTCTAATGTGCAGCCAGGATTGCCAGTCTGGCCATTCTACCTCTCACTATCCTGTTACCTCATTATCTCGGCACCTCTACCCTCCTCCCTGTTACTTGGATTATTCTGCCCTGATCATAGACTCTGTCCTGCTCCATTTTTCCTCCCTCACAACATGGCTCTTGCAATGGTGTTAAATGTGTCCGCCAATGTGACACTCCTCTCTTCAAAAGGTGAAGCCTAACTCCCCTCCCCCTGAATGTTGGCCAAGGAGGTGACTTGCTTCTAATGAATGAAATCTGGTGAAAGCTATGGTCTGTGACTTCCAAGACTAGGTCATAAAAGCCATTGCAGCTTCCTCCCTGTCTGCCCTCATGAATTGTGGGCTGCTTACTGTGGGGGAAACTAGCTACTATTCCATAAGAACACTCAAAGAGCCCTATGGAGAGGACCTATCTCATGGCAAGGAAGTGTGGATTCCTGCCAACTGCCACTGAAGAGCTAAGGCCTTCCAGCAAATAACCACTGAGTGAGCCAAATTGGGAGTGAATCTTCCAGCACCAATGAATCCTCAAAATGACTACAGCCCCAGCTGACATCTTGAATGCCACCTCATAAGAGATCCTGACCTGGAGCCATCCTGCCAAGCTGCTCCCAGATTCCTGACTCTCAGAAACCATGTGAGCTAATAAATGTTCGTTGTGGTACGCAGATAAATTGTAGGGTAGTTTGTCATGTAGCAACAGATAACTAATAAAGCCGCCTTCATCCCCACCCTCCCACATTGACTTGGAGCTGGGGAAGTTGCCAGGACTGCAACAGAAAAGTGTTCTGACATCCCAAGGTGGAATTCTGAATGTATTTGCCATAGAAACATAGCTCCATGCATATTTATGTATGTACATATATGTATGTAAATGCCTAGGAAAAGTCTGGAAGGAACAAGCCATACTGTTGATAGTGGTAGAGCCAGAAATAGGAGAGGGAGTGGGATCAGGAGTGGGGGAGGAAGCCCAGGGGAATTTTTCCTCCTGCCCTGTAGACTACTGTTTTGTTTGGGTATTTCAAAATGAGAATGTATCTATGTATCACCCGGGTAATTAAACATATTTTTCCTACATAAAAACAAGAGGAGTAAAAAAAAAAAAAGGCAGCGTAACTGTACCTGAATCTGGATTCTGTTGAAGTAGAGTATTATTAGGAACATAGTTCTACAAGTACATTACGGATACAACAGTATTTCATAGTCTGTCCTGACAGCCTTAACACCAGGCAGAACACTGCATTGCGGGTGCTGTAGTGATGAAGAATGAGAAGAACAGGCCTTGGAGGCTGACCCTCACATGTGTTTGATTCCCGACTCCGACACTTACCAGCCTGGCAAGTCATGCCACTGTTCTGAGCCTGTTTTCCTCATCTGTAAAGTCAAGATAATGATATGAGAATTAAATAGGGCTTCACACAGGGACAGATCCAGAGGCAGTACTCATTAAATGTCATTTTACGGAAAACTATGTTCCTAGTTCCACACATCTATATTTTGGGATCATTACATGTAAATAAATTGAGGGCTCCATGAATTATATGTTTTCGTTGATTTACCTTTTTTCTTGGTAGAAGGTTCATGACACAAAACAAACTTTTAAAGCACAATAACTGCGTGAATATTGCAAACATTGCAGTGGCCAAATATTTGTTTTTTTATTTAAAGTGATAAAGACCTGAACATATTTCACATTTACAATGGAGAAACTGGGGACAGTGAAGATGAACATATAATCCCAAAGGGTTGAAACAGTGCTAAATCTGAAATCTACTGGACGTTAGCCTCAAAGAAAATTGGACCATCCCATCCTGCACACACGTATTAGAGGTTGGACACGGGGAGCCTACAGACCCCAGAATATCAACAGAGGTATTTCATTTAGCCCATACAGTGTTTTTGAGAAACATTTGAATTTGTTGCCCACATTTAAACTTGGAAGATTTTATATAAATATACAGATTTCAGACGGCTTTTAGAAAACTGATGTATCTGGCTGTCATGGGCCAGTTGGCTTAGATTGAATCATGGATTTTTCTTTTAGTTGGGTTAAGGGTTTTCCAAGAGGCCACAATTCCTCCTTGGAATGGCTGGTGTTACTCATTAAGGTTACTTCCTTGCCCCTGTATGCATTGAGTTTGCACCTCTGAAACTCTGGATGTTTATTCCAATGCAATGAGAGTGTTACCGGGACAGGACGATCATGTGCTTCTGCAATTATAAAAGTTGCCTAAGCATGCCCGCAATGTAGAGGTCCCAGAAATGAAGGCCATCTCTCTCTGTTAATCTTTTAATGAACTGAAGGGGGAAAAATGTAGAGCTCTCTGAAACGCTTCTACAAGGAAATGAAGAGCTGCTATTTATAATCCACTATACTTCTACAATGAGCTAATATTTATTAGGAGGACCTCTAGTCTCTTAAATGCCCAGAAGTTGCATGTTATCATAGTTAATCTATTTGTATCATTTTTCCATTTGACCGAGTAAGCTGGGGTTCTTTTCCTCAATGCATGCTCAAATCCTACCAATGGAAGAAAAATCTGAACCATGACCCTTGCCTTTGATATATATAGAGAGATACTTATCAACTTTGGTCATATTGAGTTCATTTTTAATATCATGGAGTCACTTGTAACTCAATACCTGTCCAATACTTGTGAAATGAATGTTCCTGTGTGGTCGTTATTAAAAACAAAACAAAAAAAAAAATCAGTCCTATTTCCTTTGCTCTGCTTGAAAATCTCTCCATGGCAAAATTATTCCCCATAATTAACCAAAGCTAAAGGTGAATTTGTGGTAGAAAAAAGATTCTTCCATTAACTAGTAATTTGTCTTAGTCTAGGTCATTTCCCCCTAATATTTTATTAAGAAAACTCTTTTTTTTTTTTTTTTAAGATTTTACTTTTAAGTAATCTGTGCACCCAATGTGGGGCTCACACCTACAGCCCCTGAGATCAAGCTCTACTGATTAAGCCATCCAGGTGCCCTAGAAGACTTTCAAACATATGGAAGAGTTGGAAGAATGACACAGAGAATACCTATACCTTTATCATCCAGATTATACAATTTACATTTGTGATATTTACTTTAACACATATACGTTCATTCCTCTATCAACCTATCAGTTCACATTCATTTTTTGATACATTTCAAAAGAAGTTGCAGACATTAGTGCATTTTACCTCCCAAACACCTTAGCATTAGAATTCAGTATTTGCTTATGGGTTTTAAAAAATTGTTTTAGCGTGGTACAATATGTGTAACATAAAATTTACCATTTGAATCAGTTGTAAGTATACGATTCTGTGACATTAAGTACATTCACGCTGTTGGCAAACATCACCACTGTCCATCTCCAGAAGTTGCCATTTTCCCTAACTGAAATTCTGTACCGATTAAACAGTAACACCTCAAACCCCTTCTTTCCCCCCCTGCTCCTGACAACCACCACTGTACTCTCTGTTCCTATGAATTTTATTACTCAAGGTAGCCATATAAATGGGATCATACAATACTCGTTCTTTTATGTTTTTACTTCATTTAGCATAATGTCTTCAAGGGTCATCCACATTTCAGCATATGTCGAAACTGCCTTCCTTTTTCAGGCTGAATAATATTCCATTGTATGTACTTAGTGCATGCTGTTTATTCATTCTTCAATTGATGGACACTTGAGTTGCTTCCACCTTTTGCCTATTGTGAAATAATGCTGTTATTATGAACATGGGTGTACAAATGTCTGTTCAAGTCCCTGCTTTCACTTCTTTTGGGCATATTCCCAGAAGTGGAATTGCTAGATCATATGGTAATTCTATATTTAATTTTTTGAGGACTTTATGGGTTCTTTTTTATGTAAAATTTACACACAGTGAAATACACACATCTTAATCTACAGTTTGATGGGTTGTGACAAATGCATACTCTAGTGGATATTTTTTGTTTCTTTTTTAGGTCCTGAATATATGTAAGTTTTTCAGTTAGAATGTTGACATTTTCTGTGACCAAAATCCTGATGGAAAGAATATGGTCTTGAATGATACCAAGCATTCATTTTCAGGATCTACTGACCTTATCAATTCTCATATTTTGAAGTCTGTGAAAAATTCTTACAGTTGTGGGGCACCTGGGTGACTCAGTCTGTTAAGTGTCCGACTTTTGATTTTGGCTCAGGTCATCTCATGGTTGTGGGATCAAGTCCTGTGTCTGGATCCACGCTCAGCATGGAGTCCGCTTGAGATTCTCTCTCTCTCTCTGCCTCTTCCCTTCCCCCTACTCACACTCTTTTTCTCTCTCTCAAAATAAATAAATAAAATTTTTTAAAAAAGATTTTATTTATTTATTTGACAGACAGAGATCACAAGTAGGCAGAGAGGTAGGCAGAGAGAGAGGAGGAAGCAGGCTCCCCGCTGAGCAGAGAGCCTGATGCGGGGCTCTATCCCAGGACCCTGGGATCATGACCTGAGCCGAAGGCAGAGGCTCAACCCACTGAGCCACCCAGGCACCCCAAATAAATAAAATCTTTTTAAAAAGATCTCACATTCCTGAAACCAGGAATTTGTGAAAACAATTATCTACGTCTTCCACTACTGACTATAATCACTTCAGCTCATGCAAGCAATGACTGCAGTTGTTTCAGAGAGGGATTTTTAAACAGAAGAATGCATGTTGAGCCCAATTTTTCTGCTCCTCACCATTACCAGGGATGAGGTGATCTCCCCCTCCATCTATCATGCAGATTTTCTGGAGCCTATAATGAGGCTCTTCCTAAAGATTCTAAGCAGTGAACAATATTTATCTTGCACATCAAGAATTTATATTATTGACAATGAAAACAACAATGTATATGGCAATCAGATTGGCAAAAGTGATAAGTCTCATTGTGAAGGGTGTGGAAAAACATGCATTCTGAGATGCTGTAGGTGGCATTAAATGGTAGGACGATTTGTTACTTAGAGCTTGTTAACATTTTTAATATACCTTTTCCAACCCCAGGAGTTTCACTTCTAGGAATTTTTTTTATTTTTTTACAGAGATGCTTGTACAAGCATACCAAGATATAATTGTACACTGTTGTTCTCTGCTGCATGGCTTATAGTAGCAAAAAATTGGAAACAACCCAAATATCAGTCAGTAGGTAACTGCTAAAAATAAATCCTGATATACCCGCATTTAACTGGTATAACTTGCCTTACCAGCTTGGACACAAATAAGGTTACATCGTTTTTATTTTTTCAAATTTCATTAGGCCCGAACATCTACGTGCCGGATTAGTGTCAGAGGAAGTCCACTGCTTGTCTCCTTTCTTAAGACCTCTTCCTCCCCTGAATTAGCCAACCACCCTGGGGCTTTACTCCTTGCAAAGTGGCCAGTCCTGCTTCTAAATGCCTCATGGAGAGAGAACTAGGGAATCTGATTAGTCTATTAGAAGTCTTATTTTCAGCGTCTGTTGCTTCTGTTTGTCATAATATGACTGTTGAAAGCTGCAAAAGTAATAAATAGGGTCTACCATTGTATAATAAAGAATTTTTAAAAAAGGTTTGATTGAGACTTAGTTTTGAAAAAATAAAATATTATCTTATCTTTAAATGTGATTTATCTTTGAAGACACACATGTAACAACTCTAATTGCAACAATGCTCTAATTTTTAGAATAAACAAAGAAGGAATCAAGTGTTGATTTAGTGAGGGGTATAATTTTCCCAGCAAAATTATATGATAGCAAATTTTGACACCCTTCACTTCATGCTGACTTTTATAGCAGAATCATACAAAGGTCATTTTGAAAAAAGATGTGAAGGCTTCATCAATTTTCCTGAGAGCTTCTCTTAATCCTTTGATATTCAAATAATTCTCCTTTTGAAGAATTTATCCTCTTATCATCCTTGTTGTTTTTCTCATCTTTAATTGTTAACTGGTCTAACACTGCTGGATACTCATTTGCTTATGGAACATTTCTCCAAAATCACTTTCAATGACTTCATAAAATTCTGCATCTTTTGCAAGATTAGCAAGCTTACATGGCCACTGAAATGCATTTTATTTACATTGTATTCTCAGATGTTTATAACATCTACCATCAGCAAAATTGACTGACTCGGTGGGGAGAGATGCTGGTAATAAGTTGGGAGGGCTATTTAAGTGGGGACTAATTTAGTAAGAGGTCAGTTTATTAGTGGATTTTTTTTTTGTTATGACTAAGTTTTGCTTTTCTACACAACTTAGCAACTACTGTGATTCAGATAATGATAAGGAATAGCTGGAAAACAAGAGATTTCTATATAATGCTGCACAAAAAAGGAATGAGGTATATGTTGACATGGAAAAACATTTCACAATGCATTGTTAAATGAAAAAAACAAGTTCTGAAAGATATGAATAGGATAACAATGTTTCCAGGAAATAATAATAAATAGTAGTGTATGCATCAAAAATATAAATAAATAAAACAACTTGGAAAAGTATAGTCTATTAGCAGTCATTTCTAATAGGTGTGTGGGGGAGGGGATAAGCTCATCCTGGTAGCCTTGTTTTTAATGAGTATTTATTACACTTTCAACGATGATGAAAGCCAATTAAAAATATCTTTTAACTAATACAGCTGTGAAATGGCCAGAGGTTAAAAAAGGAAAAAGAAAAAGAAGAGAAAAATGGCTGTCACTACGTAAGTGTGTCCAAACAGTGTACTCTCAGGAAGAGCTTTCACGGGCCCATTTTGAAGGGGTATAATGGCATTCTTCAATATGAGCGTGTTTTTTTATAAACACCCCAGGGCTCATTCTCAGAATAATCAAGCCACAAACATTTACAGAGAATCTGTTATTTTCATGGCACCGTGCTATACTTAGTGCTAGGAGGAATATAAGGGTCTATAAGACTACTAGAGCCTTTCCTCAAGAAGCTCACAGTTTAGGTGAGAAGGTAAGAAGCTTCTCACTGAATGAGGTGGACAGCAGCACCTGGTCCTCAGAGACCAAGGTCTGAGCAAGAGACTACAATTGTGCCAAGGTGGAGAAACTGACCAGCTAATTTTCAGAGTCTTTGCTCCTGCTTAGAATTCAATGGGTACAAACATTAGAGGAGACTCAAAATTGAGCATAGATATCAGTCTTGAGAGAAGAATGTAGCTCTTCATTCTACACAGGGAGATAAATTCATAGATTTGTCCAAAGACTAGCTAGAGCTCCATTCATATCTTGTGAGGGCTTCAGGGAGCTCTTGATGGGGATACTGATGAAATGAGACAGTGAAGAGCGGGGTTTGTATTTTTTTGCTCTTCTGCCCCGTTTCAGTGAATGGGAGATCTAACACCGACTCAAGGCTACTGCTGCTAAGGACGGAATCAGAATTTGAATCCAGCACTTGCTACTCTCGAGCCCGTTCTTAATTTTTGTAATCCACTCCTTTCTCATTGCAGATTATAGGCTAATCGTCACCTCTACATGTTGAAGGAATAGATTGTTTGGCATGGCACTGATCACTATGTGTATTAACGGGAAAGTTTATCCCCAGGAGAAAAGAAAAAACCAGCTGTGTGAATGGAACTTGGAGAAAGGTAATACCTCCTTGTAAACAACAATAAGATCCATGAAATCTCCATAGTCTTCCTGGAAAAGCAGTTGCCAAGATTTCTGTAGACTTGGTCTTCCTTTTCACTCCTGGAAATAATCCATTTAGGGCAGAGTTGAAACACATAAACAGAGTAGCACTTTCTCTTCTGCCTCTGTTCTGCCTAAGCAGTGAATAATCAAAGGTGCTTTGGATTCTGAATTTAGCTACAACAAAATTCACTAATAAAAATTTGCTGTTGGGGCGCCTGGGTGACTCAGTCAGTTAAGCATCTGCCTTCAGCTCATGATGGCTTTCAGGGTCCTGGGATCAGGTCCCATGTCAGGCTCCCTGCTCAGTAAAGAGCCTGCTTCTCCTTCACCTCCCACTGTACTCTTGCCCTCTCTCTCTGTCACTCTATCTCAAATAAATCTTTTTAAAAATTTAAAAATTTAAAAAATAATAATTTGCTGTCGATATACTTCAATTGCCAACTTACTTTTCTGTTTTGCTTTGTTTTTTAAAGATTTTATTTATTTATTTGACAGAGATCACAAGTAATCAGAGAGGCAGGCAGAGAGAGGAGGAAGCAGGCTCCCCATGGAGCAGAGAGCCCGATGTGGGGCTCGATCCCAGGACCCTGGGATCATGATCTGAGCTGAAGGCAGAGGCTTTAACCCACTGAGCCACCCAGGCGCCCTGTTTTGTTTTGTTTTAAAGATTTTATTTATTTATTTGAGAGAGAGAGAGAGAGCACAAGCAGGGGGAGCAGCAAGCAGAGGGAGAAGCAGGCTCCCGCTGAGCAGAGAGCCCATGGAGCTCCACCCCAGGACTCTGGGATCATGACCTGAGCCAAAAGCAGATGCTTAACCAACTGAGCCACCCAGGTGCCCCTACAGACTCACTTTATATGACATATTCAAAATCTAGGATAAAAGTGTTTATATGTGCTATACAGCATAACCTATAGTGATAATGTAGTGTGCCATAATATTTCCCACTTAATTGTACCAACTTGTTCTTTAGAACTCCTGAAAACACAGGGAAAGTGTGACCTTATCATTAGAGTTTAGCCTGGATCTATGAGTCTTTCCACAAAAGTTGAGAACTTTTAAGATGTGTACATTTTATTTTTTTATTTTTTTAAAAGATTTTATTTATTTATTTGACACACAGAGAGCGATCACAAGTAGGCAGAGAAGCAGTCAGAGAGAGGGGGAAGCAGGCTCCCTGCTGAGCAGAGAGCCCGACATGGGGCTTGATCCCAGGACCCTGGGATCATGACCCGAGCCGAAGGCAGAGGCTTTAACCCACTGAGCCACCCAGGCTCCCCTAAAATGTGTAAATTTTTAAAAAATCATTTGATCTTTTAGGCAAAGTTTATTATATGTATGAGCTTGCAGAACAGTATCATAGAAGAATTGAATATAGAAAAAAATTGTTTTAGTTCAGTACTGTGGTCATCATGAAATACAAGACAACTTATTTAGGTCCCTTCCCTTGTTGCAGAATGAAAACAAACTGCTTCTTTCATCTACTTTTGAAACTCAAAAGTAGCCCCTTTTAATAGAAAATGTCTGGGAGTCACTGCCTTGAAAATTTTCTAAAAAGTACTCTCAACATCCTAAATTATAGGAAAATAACTTGTGGATAATGAGCTACACATTCTTTCCCTCCTTCTTTACCCTCTTTATCTCTGAGAATGTGAGGAGTTGGCATTGAACATAGCAATGACTTATGGACGAACCTCAAAGGTCTATGGAAAAAAAAAAAAATCTGTGGTTTTGCTGAGGCAAGCATCAGAATCCCAAACATTATTGTCTGAGAACAAATCACTTGATTAGTGAGTGGGCTCAGCCATCCACCTGGTATTCTCATCTTAAAGCAAGATCTTATGGTTTTCTATAATTGTCACATCTGCAATAAATCCCGAGAAAAGATAATAACTTTGTTTCTTTGTAAAAATCGCCCTGAAAAGAAAGTCAACTGCCAGTGCAGTGCTGAAAAGTGATGGCATTTATTAATTTGCATTATCATATTTAGATAATTACATGATTATATTTATATTTAGATTGTAATTAGATGCATGCCATTGGAGCCTTCTTGATATACTTATAAATTTGAAGACTCTCTGTGTATACAGGCATTTCTCTGCAGACTGGCACATGACTTCTTTAAACAGAGATGGGAAGACACCTGGTTTTACCTGTTGGTTAGGAAAAAAGAAAGAAAGAATTATATTATTATGATTTATTCGGGGGTAAGTACATTTGGAACCTAAAAGGTACTGTGTAACTGTCAGGGTCAGATTGCTGTTTGTCAACAAAAGCTCTCTTGGGTCAGTAAAGTGGTTTCTTTTCTCTAAATTTTACTTTTAAAAAATCCTCTGTAGTTGACCTCATTCACCATGCAGCTGAGAAAGGGCTCATTGTTTTCAGCTGAGAATTCCATATAGTAATCACAGTAATCCTAGAATTTTATAAACGACAGAATTAAGGTGGCTCCCCAACTGGATATCACCAGGCTGTTGACAGTGAAGAGCTTATGCCGTCTTTGACATACATTCCCAACACCCATTTCCCTGGAATGTTTTTAGGCATGTTAGGTTCTAACTGGAGGCTAAAGTTGAATCACTTATTATTCTGCACATACCCCTTACTGGTAGTCAGTGAAACTCAAATGAGAATAGCCTATCCAGCATTTGACTGTGATGACACATGGCAAGATGTCAGGCATCTTCGGAGGTCTTAGATGTTTGGCCTAATGCCATTTGAGAGATGGCCTCTGATTTTCATTTGGCCTTCATGAGAATGTTGCAAAACATTGTTCTCGTAACTGGTGGTAGCTATAATTCTTCTTCTCTCTCTCTCTTTTTTTTTTTTTAAGTTTTTATTTATCTAGGTGTAATTCTTAATGGTTGTCTTGGAAAGGTGGCAGCATCATATAGTTATTTATAGATCCTGAAGAATCTTTGTTGTCTCAGAAGAACTCAAGGAAACTTAATTTCCAAACCTGGGAAAGATTCATTTTTTTGAATCACTTTGAATCACTGTTGCCTTGAGTCAAATAAAGTGAGTTACTCTTTATGAAGCATGAACAAAGCCAGAAACACGTCATTAGAACGTTAATTTAATTTGGCTTGTTGAGGTAAGAATCCAGACAATTTGGTTCAACTAAAAGTGACAGGGATTAATAATGTTGTTGTTGTTTTAACGATTTTATTTATTTATTTGAGACACAAAGAGAGGACATCAGCAAGGTGAGAGGGGCAGAGGGAAAAGAAGAGTGATAAGCAGACTTTCCACTGAGCAGGAGCCCACTGCGGAGATGCAGAGCTCTATCCCAGGACCCTGGGATCATGACCTGAGCTGAAGGCAGACACTTAACCGACTAAGCCTCCCAGGGCCCCAGTGATGTTGTTTTCGATCTGGAATAATTCTGGTCACATGAATGAGAATTCCAAGGCAAAAAAATGGAGGATAGTTATGAAGATGAGTTCACTGCCTTTGCAGTAGGTTCAGGGCCAAAGTATAAAGTTTACTTTCTTCAGAGCTGTTGATTGTGTGCTTTTGGCAAGGCAAAAGTTAAAAATCTATTTGGCTAATAAGTTTAATTGTGTGATCCTGAATTTTTCTTTTATTCTTCACTTCCCAGCCAACAAATTTGAACTGAAATGGAAGATCTCTTTTTCATATGCTATGACTTTGTTTTGCAAATCACCAGCAGGTCCATAGTAGAAGTTAAAACTTTGCAAGCCAAGATATCACAAGAGCATTCTTTTTCTATTTGCCAAGATAAAATCCCAACTCATGGTTTGGGACCATACTGTAAAATGTAAATAACATTTTAATGAACACTATAGAGGAAGACTGTGCTGGGCCAGTTGCCCACCACTGAAGGGCTGGATTTAAGTGTACCTTGGGTCATAATGAAACTATTTTGGTGGTCTTAGCCTCCCTAGTAGACATTTTCCCACATTAGAAAACCAACACAGGAGTTCATGCAATTCCCTACAAAGGACAATTGTAGCTCTGCCAAAAACCAGAACTGGAGTATGGATGGGATAACTGGAGGAGAAGCTAGAGGAGATCAGTGAGCCTTTTAATCCTAAATTAAACTTCTGTCTACATTTAGCAGGAAAAGGGAAAATAATTACATTGTGTATTTTATTCCTATCCACATTCTGTAATCTCAGACACTATCTAAGGACATCTCCTTGTTTCCATTTCCTTCACTATCCATATTCCTGAGTCTGTGAGAATACATTTTTCAAAAACATTGACTAAAAGCATCGTGTTAAACTCTCTATCCTAGTAACTCCTGTTCCTGGGGCTACAGGACTGAACATCTCAACTAAATTCCATATGAACTATATTGATATCTTTCTAATCTCTTCCTGATTCCAGATTCATCTTCTCTAACTAGCTGTATCTTACCTGTCCCTTAATCGAGGCACTGGCCCAGTTCCTACAGGGCGCTCTCTGTTATGACAAAAGCACACTTTCCTCTCGCCTAATCATCTACATTTGATAACCACATTTCCTAGTACTGTTCTATTTGACTGATTGAAAATATAAGTGAACATTTAAAAGATAGATTTAGAATAAAACAAACACCAAACCTCCAAACATAACATGCTACATTCCTGATGTTATTTCAATGAAGAGGATTCTTTAGTCCTTTTTCCTCTTTGGAAAAAGACTTGGGCTCTAAATCCCTTAATATTTCTACCTGATTTAAATCTGACTTTAATCCTGCATGATAAATGAAGATTCTGTATCTTTTCACCCTTGCTTTTTGGAGTAATTTGTCTAACCCAACACCTGCGTAAATAGATCAGATTGTCTAAGTGATCCAAACACATTCCATTTAGGCAAGGTAGCATCAGCCCCAAGAGTAGCAAACAATGCCAACTGCCACCCCACCAGGGGACATCCTGACCTGGAGAGTATGTAGGTGCTTCTGGAGTGACTGCTTTTAGAGACCCACCCCACCCCCTAAAGGAAAGACATCTCATTCCTCTGATTTCATGTAGAGTTCCCCCAAACAGCCACTACAGGTCTCCATTTACAGTATTTCCAATGCCTCACCCACCCCCCGACCAAACTTAAAAAAAAAAAAGTCCCCTCGAAGCTCTAGGTAGCCGTCTAGGAGAAATCCCGGCATTTTCCCAGCCCAGTGCTTCCCCGTGGCAGGAGAATGTGCCTTTCCTGGAGTGAGGCTGACTTTGCCCTCAGGTTACATTTCCACACAAAGAAGTCTTTAAGGGTGCTGTAACAGGCCTCTACACTGGAGGTTTAGGTCTGTCAATCTCAGAAAAAAAAAGGAGGCCGTCATAAAACTGCTGGAGCCAGCAGTGGGGAATTACAACTCCAGGATCAGCGGAGGTCTGCCTCACAGCCCTGCTCTATGCTGAGAGTCGGCCTCTCTAAGGACAGAGAACAATAAAGCAGAAGGAATGTAAGTCAGTTGGCTGCTGGATTGCAGGAGCAGGACTCCGGGAAGGGGGCCCTTGTGGAGGGTGCTGCACTGACTCTTGGCCACTGCCACTGTGTCAGCCCAGCTGGGCCACCCGAGTCTGAGAGAATGCGAAAAGTGGTCCCAAGGCCAACAAGCCAAGAGGCCTGCGGACACCCAAGCCGGAGGCTTCGTGTGGAGCAGCCCGAGCAACTCCATGTGTAATTCAGTCAATTTGTAGTTAATAAGAACAAATACTAATTAAGATCTCAGTGAATGACCGCAACAGGCAGAAAAACAGGAAATATATCAGAAGGTCACCTGAACACTTTGCAGAGAGCTATGAGGGAAAACAAAGGTGGTGGCCTCTGGGAGGGAGGCAAAGAGAGGGGTGAGGAAGCTACCAAATGGATCTGATTGGTTCAGAGGATGGGGGGGCGGTAAGTGGGTAAGGGGCGGTAAGTGGGTAATGAGCTGAGAATAGAGACGGCATCACTACCACCTGTCCGGCAGCTCCACAGCCCTGATTTTGGCAGGGTGGCCCTGATGCCTGCGCAAAAGGCTGGTTGGACTTAGCTCGAGAGCTTCCTAAAATATCCATGGGCCTGATGCAATATCACTTTGTGATAGCACTGCATTGCGATGTGGTGACAGGATAACCTGGTGCTGAGGAAGGAGGGCCTTTTATGTCTTCATGATTGTGTCTGAGAGAGGCCAAGTGATGGGAGCATTCCCAAAGGAGAATGGGTCAGCTGGAAGAGTGCTTAAGCTTTCTGATGTGGAAGGAACAGAGTTCCCACCCACCCACTCCCACTGCAGAGGCTGGACACCTGGGGAGGGCTCAGTTAGGAGATTGAGACTTAGGAGGACAACCCCTAGGGGCCCCTCAGCAGTCCACAGGGCATTCTAAAAAGCAGAGCAAGCGGGGGAAGGAGCTGTGCTAACCAGTCTTCACCGAAAAAGCAGCAGAAAGAAGAGGGTAGCTTCCTTCTAAGTATGTCCTCTGAGCAAAGGCAGAGGAGTAGGTTTGGGGAAGGGGAGAGGAGACAGACCTAATCTGGAGAAAGCCACCAAGCGCCACCAAGAGCTGGTAGCACTGGCCAGGTTTGGCCTAGGTCTCCAAATAAAAACAATTTGCCTAGCTCCAGGCAAGCCCTTGTTCGGCATAATGACTTGAATTTTGAAATGTGAATTAAACCTTGCAAAGGAATGCAACTCTTTCTCCCTTCGCCAGGCCATTCTACCATTCTTACAGGGTGAGAGGTGGTTTTAGAGGAAGATTTAAAATTTTTGCCCCTTTACCAAAGCATGGAAAGTGGCAACCACATCTCCCGCCATCCCTACCCCCACTGTTCAAAGTGTTCGAAACTAAAAGCTGCAACATCTTTTCAGCAAGTAATCAGCACAAGTTGAAAGGCACATGCTGTCGCATTTCTGATCAGATTGTATGTTAAGCAGGAAAATATACCCCCTCTACACTCCCCCCCCCCTTTTTTTTTTTTTGGCTAAATGCATGTCTGTTTAAAGAGCCACCAGGCAGTGCCTCTCACTTTGTCTTGGCAGGGCACAACCATCAGACGAAGTGGGAGGAAGAAACATTAACTTCAACAGCTGTTTCTTGACCCCGGCTGTCAGTCTTCCCAAGAATAAATTTTGGAGAGTCCTATTTGAAACAAAGAGGGAGTTTTTAAGGAGAGAAAAGTTGGTTGGTTCCAGGGAGGCCGCCCAAAGAAGCAGGGAACAAGATGTTTGCAGTTACCACGCAGCCTGCAAGCCTCTGCCGGGTGCAGGGATGGAGCAAAGTAACTTGAAAGCTCCCCTCTCGGCGCCCTGTGCCTACAGCTTCCCCCCCTAACGTGCGCCCAGATCCAGCGCCGGTGGTAAGAGCCGTAGCTCGACTACAGTAATTCCCCAGCTCGGGCGGCTTGAAACTGCTCGGGCTGAATAGCATTTGCTGTTCCGTCCTGCGGCCGCCTCCCGCCGCCGCTGCCGCGCTCCCTGCAAAGCAGCTCTCATTATCCCGGAAGTTGTGCTGACACAGTCTCGCTGCCACCAGAAGTTTGTCAACATCAAACTTCTCCTGTGTGGGGTACGTTCACCTTCCACGAGTATTTAATCGAGCCAACAAGCAAACAAACAAACCCAAATAAACCTGCCCGTGATGTCATGGTCTTTTTTTTTTTTTTTTTTTTTTTTTTCCTTCCTGGAAGGCTGGGGCCGTTAGAAATTTGGTGGTCGGAGTTTAGAGCGCCAGTGGGTTTTGGGGGGCGGAGATCAGGGGCAGCCCCCGGGGTGGGAGTGGGGAAGGGGCTGCGGAGGGGGCGTGCGGGCGGTTGGAGCTGGGCGCAGGATAGGTGGTTAGGGGAGTGGGGCTGGCGAGTTGGTCCTGCAGCCTCTTGCCTACCGAGGGTTTGGATACTGCACCGTCAGGGGCCAAGATTGTCGCTTGGCGTCCCCCAACCACGCAACAAAGGTTACCTGGAAGCGCTGGCCAAGTCGCCGGGGGAGGGGAGCTTTCCACACTCTCACTGCTCTTTTTGCACTCCTGCAGGACATTTCTGTAGACACCTCTTGAGATCTTTCGCAATAAAGGGCATTAGGGTCATAAAATGTATTTTGGGGCTTCAGCTGCAACATAAAAGAAATCCTTGCGATTTAAGGGCAGGGATGTGCTACCTTTTCTGTCTTTAATAGGTCTGTTCTGATACCTTGATTAAACCATTCGTTCTAAACTTAACTGACTCCTTTCTCTAAGCCAGATCTCCGGTTTAGTTCAAGTTGCTGCTACCCAGTTTGGGTGTTTGTGGTTTCCAGTTGCTCCCCCGCTGAGACGCTCCCGGCGCGGTAACTCCCACCCCCCCACGCCCCAACCTCCCCCCCGCCCCCCGCCCGCCCAGCTTTGGGGAGAAGGGGGAGAGGAGGATGCTGATTAACCCTTTCCATTCCGTACTTTTATCCGGACGTGATCAATCCTGCTCGGACTGTTGGAGAAGACAAGGCCTGACTTGCATGGTTTTGACGCTAGGCATTCATGAAGCGGTGCCATTTGGGGGCCACAGGTTTTCCTGGAGGAGCTGGAAGCTCAGACACTGATATTAACTTTGCCTCTAGTTTGAAAGGCCGTATAATAGCATTCAGACCCTGGAGATCAGAAAGAGGATGGCTGCTGTCCCCCACCTAATGTAAAGTCAGGTGTGGGTTGCTGAGAGGGTTGGATATACCTAAAGTAGGCAACCCAAGGTCTGCTGCCTTGAACTGGAAATCTATCTACTTTTGGGGGGCAGGAAAATTCTTTTCTACTCTTCAAAAATAAGTAAAAGTGTATAATGTCTCCAAAGATAATATTACCCATTATCCCATTAGGATATTGTGGTGAGTGGAGAGGAGGTTTAATCCATTTAGGAAGCCAGGTACTTCCTTTACTCTTCTTGTTTGTTGGCTGTTATTAACCATGTTTTTAGAAAAAATCATGTATACAGTACTGTATCTCTGATAACAAGAAGGAAGACACTTTTTCCTATATTTCAAAATGTCCTTAACAGGAAAAATTGTACTAATCCCAAAGGGGTCAGTTTACCTTAAACACAAAACAAAAAGCCAAAAGCAAAATCTAAAGAAAATGCAATTCAGGTGTTTCTCAGGGACTAGAAGATACTTTTGAGAAACACAAGTCAAACTGATACAAATACAGTTATGGAGAAGGGAGTTCTTTAAAATATACACACACAACAACAACAAAAAACAACACAAATGTGTTTTCTTGAAAGTTTAGCTACTCATTACAGTGAATTTTCCAGTTGGCCATGCCTCAAAAATTTCCCTGCTTTATTTAGAATTCTTTGGGTGGCATTTTAATTTTTATTTATTTATTTTCTTCTAATCTACAAAGTACTACTTAACATCATTGTACCTTTGTGTGAACAGGAGTCCACAAGGACATGTGGAGGATTCCATTTCCAATACCACATGCATGAATTACTTGCCCTGGTTGTTAATCTGTCATAGCGTTAAAAACCTGATTTATAAAAGGCTAGAGGACTTTTGCAGAACAAGGTAGTATACAGTTTCCATGGTTGGGCTTATTTACAAATAAAACTATTTTCCATTTCTGTCCACAATTTCCTGGTTGCACAAAGATAATTTTCAGAGTTTTCAGTTTCTAGTTCCCCAATGGGAGCCGTAAGCATGAGGAAACAATTTCTTTTTTACAGTGATGTGAGTGCTATGCTCATCTGGATTTAGTTACTCCATAAGGTAAATATCACTAAATGTGCACTGGGATCTTTAGGGATCTAAGGTGCTGGACGGGTGAAAATAGTCTACTGTGAAATGCTAAAGAATGTCAAACAACTGAATTTGAATTGGTTTGCAGAGCTAATTGGGTCAACTATGGTATTTTTTAAAGTGGAAATTAATTTGAACATTTTTCAAAAGTATTTTCAGTTTTCTTTTGGTTACATTTATGTTATTTTGGTCACTATGATTTTTAGAATTTTACCCCAGGAATTCAATTAAAACAGGCCCATCTGAAAAATATACCCTTCAGTGAATAATATCTGCTAATGAAAGTGTAGGTTTTGAATTTCATGCTAATTACATTTTTAAATAAGGATGTTCTTGAAATTATTTTTATTTAAAGGCAAAATATCTGCATAGATAATGGCCAAAGCTAACCAAACTGCTTTAAAAATTAATGAATATTAATGAAGTTCATGAATAGCACAATACTGCCCCTGCCTGCCTTAGGAAAACAAATGTATTGACTTCATTCTCCTAAAATAACAATCCTTAGTTACTGATGGTTAAAATAGTTTTGTTGCTAAAAGCTTGTACATAGTGCAGTTTTTGCAATTAGTAAGACTTGGCCTTGTTTAGTAGACTTCTATCTCTTCCCAAAAAGTAAGCATATTTTATCTTTTTACATACCTGAATGCTATTTTTTTTATTAACTTGCCATCTCGTGACATTTCATGATTTTTCTAAGTTCTTGTCCCCTGTCAGTTTAGTAGCTCACATGAATGACTCAGGATTTTCAGGCCTTCATATATATTTGGTATATAGATAATGGCATCATTAGTCAGCACTTCCATTCATCTAAATTTGTCTAAGCACATGGGAAGCTGCTTAGGACATTTTGCAATGAAAGTGACAAATGGATGTCAGTCAAGTGGCCCTACCCATTTCAACCTTATTTTCTATGATGTGTAAATGTTTGTGTATATTTATTCCGTAAGATAGGTTATAGGCTATTTTTTGATCTGGACATATGCCTGCTAAGGCAAGTTTCCCAGGCAGATCACTGGTTGGCATTAGACTAAATTTGGGAAATTTAACAAATGAATGACAAAAAAAAAAAAAAAAAAAAGAAATAGGATATAAATTTACATAATGATGGGATCCATTCCCTTAAGAAAAACAATTTTTGATACTGTAAGTTTTTAAGATTCTATAGTTTTACTTCAAATGAATTTGTAATGAGAAAGGTAAAATCATTTCAAGTAAGCCAGCAAATTTGGGTCAAAATGAAAGCAGTTCTGAGAGAGAAAGAGAGAGAGAGAGATTCCTGCTTCCCATAGGCCTGGTTGGAATTTTCTATTAAAAAAAAAAAATATATATATATATACATATATATGTATTTATTATATATTAATATATACAATGTAATATATTACATATATTAAAATATGTATATACACATATGCACATATATGCATAATATACATATATACCTGTTTAAATATACACACACATACTATACTATAGTGTCCTACTTCTGTTTTCATTCTTTGTTTTTAATAACTAGTCCAATCTCTAGTGTTATATGGTAAGCGAATGTGCTTATTAGAACTTAATGCCAGTTTTAATCTAAGATTACGTTGCACTTGAAACTCTTTTGCTGTTTTATAACCTGTAACATGTTTTTACATGTTTAGGAGTGCTGCTGCTGCAGTAAAAATTCTGTCTAGATATTATAATGAGTTTATATGTTTAGCCAAAAAAGTGCAGTATGCTAAATTAGACAGTAAAGATTCTAAAATCCTAATGTTTTAGTAAACCCTTGATAATAATTGTAGTTCTATGGATAAAAAAATATTGTAGTATTTTAATACTGCATAGAAGTATAGTTGTTGTTTCTTTCCTAAAGTTGTGGAATTTCTTTGTCCATAAGGAATATTAAAGAAAAAGTTTATCATTTTAAATTATTTTATTTGGAAATGCTTTGGAGTGAAGCTAATCTTTACACCCAAGACTACAGATTGCAATTTCACTTACCATTATCCATGGCAAGATGTTTAATTTTACTCCTGTGAGCCAAAGAATTTTTAGTGACTTTTGAGAAATGGAATGTAGGAAGTAGGTCCAGCTCATTGTGAATGTGGGAATTTGATAAATCATGCTTGAAATGACCATTTACTCTATGACTTGTTGTATAATGGGTAGACGTAAAAAAGAACTTATCAACTTAACTGTGAGTTTGAGTTTAGAATATCTTTTGATTGAGGGACAGTCAGAGGTCATCACAACAATTACATTTAGCTTTCAATATATTCTTTGGTCCACCCGTGCTTTTTGTTCCAAATTTCTGTATATAAGGGCACAAATGAGATTTTTCTAAATGCCTATTCCACAAACTTGCTTTCTAAAAATCAGACAGGGCATCTTTTTCTGTTTACATGTGGAAACAAAGAATACTGAAGTAGGAGGAAAAAAATGACTCTCTTCCTTATGATTTGGAAACAAAGCATTATTTTATATATAATAATAATAATAATTTTAGCAGGCAAAAAGCCTTGGTTTTGTTAATAAACAATACTAACTCAGCTCAAACTACTATTGGGAATTAGATACGGAAAGGTTCAAGCTGTTCCGACTTAAATTTTCAGATATGTAACATATGTGATGACCACCCACCTAGTGGTTAAATAATATGTTTACTTTCCTACAATTTCCTGAGCCCACTTGACTTTGGAGATTTAAATATGGCATAAATCTCTGTGCTCAGGAACCTGGTGTCGGAACTTTGAAGTAGCAAGAGCCTCCAGCCTTGACTCTAGTTCCTGTCAGTCTTTGTTCCAAATCAGTGGCTTGTTCTCCATCCCACACACTTGACTCTTCTCTCCCTGTAGGGAGAGAGCCCCCCTACTGGGGCTGTCTG